ATGCATAACAAGTGATTGCAAAAACCGTGGCCTGTATCAGGCACACCTTAGTCTCCAGAGTGATACCATGCACACTGTCAAACCAGATTCGATGACTAGAAAAGTCATATTGAAAGACAAACTCCACTTGCACTTGTCACTTTTGTTACAATTTCTCTCATGTATGTGACCAATGAGCCAGGGCAATTATCTGATTTACCCAGCGTCACACAGATGGTAGAGATCCAGCCAGGACAGTTAGCAATTTTCCTGTTCCCTGTATCAACCACACTGTAATAAATTTAAAATATAAGTACCATATCCATTGGTGAAAGTCATCATCTTAAACAACCTCAAACTGTAAGAAAAGTGTAAATCCTTTCTAAATAAATGTTGTTACCTGATTTGATAATTCATTTAGATGTGGGGGTATAACCTTAAGATCTTCTTTTGTTTAAACACACAGGTCATCCTTCAGACCAAAGCAGCAATCCAAATCCTAGTCCTGCCAGTGATACCCAGGGAAGCATTCCCTTTCAAGACTGCAATCAGCTAAGTGACTGCAAAGGTGTGTGTACTAGAAGCTTTTTTCTTTTTAAGTTTTAGTACCCTTGAATCAGAACACACCCATAGCTGACTCTCCAGCGGGTTTTCAGAGGCAATAAGTTACACTGCAGGAGATTATCCATCCTTCTTCCCAATGCAATTTGTCTTTTAATTTCCTGGCTGCTGGTACCACAAGTGTTGATTGTAGAGCCAAGCAAACTGAAGTTGTCTCTTCACCATCCATCATGATGCTGCCAACTGGCCCAGTGGTGAGACTCTTTGTTTTCTTTCTTTTTTATAAAAGTCCAGTGTACTCTGTGAATTTTCACTCAAATAACAATAAAAAGTGGGATTTTTTTAAAAAGCTATTCAGGAAAAGTCTGAAAAATGAAAGTGAGAAAGAACCTGACTATCTATCTGTTAAATATATTACGAAGTTCCAAAAATCAAACTATATCATACTGACACAGAAAATAAATTATTGGTGAAAAGAAAGAGAAAATTGAGACCAACTGAAGATTGGTTCCCAGTCAGTGAAAAATTACTGGATTATTCAATAAATAATGCTGGGACAAATTTCTAACCATAATTTAGATTCATACCTTACTAAATGAATACAATTTTAAGCAATATTATAATGTACTAGGGGGGAAAATGTATGTGTGGACATAATTTATAACCTTGGAGTAGGAATAGGATTGCCGGATAAAATACAGGACAAGTAGTTCCTTGGAATATTTGGATAGACTTAGGCTAAGTGAGTTTTGTCATGGATGTTGTTCTGTGCCGTCGAGTCACTTACAACTCATAGCGGCCCTATGTACAACAACCCTCAATCCTGCTCTATCCTGTGCCAACCTTACTGTCTCTGACACACCTACCTCCGTTGCCCCAGTGACTGAATCAATTCATCTCATCTAGAGTCTCCCTCTCCTGCACTGTCACCACACCTTCCCAAGCATGATGCCCCTTTCCAAGAACCAGTCCCTCCTTGTAGAGAATCTTTGTTTTCTTAACATTGAGCTTCAATGCCTATTGAAGACTGCAGTCCTTGACCTTCTGCAGCAAGTGCTTCAGGTCCTCCTCAGTTTCAGCAAGCAGGGTTGTGTCATCTGCATAATGCAGATTGTTGTTGAGTCTCCCCCCAATCCTAATGCCACATTTCTACTCATAGAGCCCACCCTCCCGGATAATCTGTTTTGCATATAGATTGAAAAGATATGGAGATAGGATACATCTTTGGCACACAACCTTCCTGATTTTGAACTATGCATTTTGAACATCCTGATTTTGCTCTGTCTGACGACTGCCTACTGGTCCAAGTACAGGTTTCACATGAGCACAGTCAAGTTTTCTGGGATTCCCATTCTTCTCTGCTGTTTCTGAGATGGTTTTGAAATTCAGGTGGGATAGACTCAAGGTTCAATTTTTGTTCCTGTGGACCTGATTTCATTTTCCTCAGCTTCAGCTTGAACTTGCATATACGTAGTTTGTGGTCTGTTCCACAATCGGCACCTGACCTAGTTTACACAGCTGATACTGAGCTTCTTCAGTAAGTCTTTCCACAGATATAAACAATCTGATTCTTGTGCATAATATCAAGTGAAATCCATGTGTATAGCTTGCTTTTATGTTTCTTATAAAATGTATTTGAAATGAATAAGTTGTTGATTGTGCAAAATTCTATCATTCTATCTCCAGATTCATTTCTGTCACCAAGTTCATATTTTCCAATTACTGATCCTTCTTTTCTATTCCCAACATTTGCATTCCAGTTACCAATTATTATTAATGCATCTTGATTTCATGTTCAATCAATCTCTAACTGCAAATGTTCGTAGAAATCTTCTATTTTCTCCTCTTTGGCTCTGGTTGCTGGTGCATATATTTGAATGATGGTGGTATTCACCGAACTTCCTTGTACGTGTACAGATATTATTCTGTCACTCACAATATTGTATTTCAAGATGGATCTAGAAATAACTTTTTTAACTATGAAAGCAACCCCATTTTTCCTTACCTTTTTGTCTCCAGCATAATAGATCCTCTGACTCAAAATGTTCCATGCCAATCTATCTCATTTTGCCAGTACATTTTGATATTTATGTGTTCCATTTCTTTCTTAACAATATCCGATTTTTCTACATTCATGGTTTTCACATTCCATACTCCAATAACTAGTGTCTACTTACAGCTGTTCCTCTTCCTGCGTTTCCACACCTGAGGATCAGCCTTAGTTGCTGTATCTGCTAGTCTAAGTGTGCTCTGTTGTACATGCGGTTTTCAGAGGCCTGCTATTTCAGAAGTGGATGGTCAATCCTTCTTCCTAGTCTATCTTTATTTGAATGCTTAGACTTAGAACATTATTTGACAGACAAGCATTTTACAGAGAAGAGCAAATTAAAGATATATCCCAGTAGTAGGGAAAAAACCAATAGATTGGTGTCCTATATTCTGCTGCTTTCTAGAGAACTTTCCAAAACTAGACAAGAACAACTGATTTGGAGCATCTGCTTGTCATTTCCCCACACCCCACCACCACCCATAAGTGACAGCTGACTAAATTCAGGGGCAGCAGGAAACCTGTAACATGATTTCACAGAAGCATGGAAAATGGATATAGACCAGCTGCCCCTCTTCCCGCTTTATACCTGTATCACGGGAATAGTTGTCTCCCTTTAGCTCTCCTCAACATATGGCTTCTCTTCAACTCATATTTTGGGGGCAAACCCTGATAGATTTAAATCTAAGTTACCCCAAGACTTACAGAAGTTCAGCCTTTCAGAAAAATCTTTTGTGATTCAGACATTGATACTTAAACCTCAGAGTGATTGAGAATATTCATGAGGGTAAGAATCACAGGGAGGCAGAATAGTCCTCTTTTAATTAACATTACTAAATTTCAATACCATTTCAAAATGGGAGGAATGGATTACATCAATGGTTTTTAAAGATTTAAAAACATTAGAAAATCACCCTTTTAAATGGTTTTGAAAGTATCTGTATTTCTGCTTGACAAAAATCTATGACTTTTGAAGTATGGCTTTTAATGCTGTCTTTTTATGAGAAGTGGGGATTAATTACTCTGAATTTTTTAGTTGTTGTTAGGTGTCAATTGATTTCAACTAATAATGGCCTCGTGTCACAAAGTGGGACCGTCCATGGGATTTCCTAGACCAGGTTGCTATGAATGGGACTCAATTCAGTGACAGTGCAATGTGCTTGGACTTTTTCCCTGTGGAGCTAATTGTGGATTCAAACTACCAACTTTTTGGTTAGTAGCCAAATACTTAATCATTACACTACTAAGACTTATGGGTTTTTGAAAACTAATTTATTCTTGTTGAGAATATGCATATACCAATGCAATGTATACAAGTGCAATTCAATGACATTGTTCACCCTTTGAGTTGTGTAACAACTCTCACTTTTACTAAACTGTTCTCCCGCATTCCTATACGTTCACTGACCCCATAACATTTCAAGTTGCTATAGTCAATTTTCTTCCATATTATTGTTGTTGTTAGGTGTCATCAAGCCGACTACAACTCATATCAACCTTTTGAACAGCAGATCTAAACCCTGACCTATCTTGTGACATCCTTATCATCTCTAACATAAATGATCCCATTGCTGCAGTTCACTGTCAATCCATCTCATTGAGGGTCTTCCTCTCTTTCACTTACCTCCCACCTTTCCAGGCATGATGTCCTTTACCAAGGGCTGACCTCCCCTAGCAATGCACTCAAGCTGTATTAGACAGAGTTTCATTAACCTTCTCTCCAAGAAGCACCCTGACTGCATCTTCTCCGAGATATATCTATTCTTTTGGCAGTCATGGGATAGTCAGTACTCTTCTCCAATGTCATAACTTAAAGGCATCGATTCTTCTCCTGTGATTCCATATTGATGTTAAAAAGAGTCCAAGGTTCAATTTCTTTCCTTTTGTTGTTCTTGTTAGGTGCCATCGATTTAAGTACAATTCACAGTAGCCCTGTGATCAGCAGATCTGAACATTGTCCTGTCCTGTGCCATCCTCACCATCTCTGACAGGCTTGAGCCCATTGTTAAAGTCACTGTGTCAATCCTTCTCACTGAGAGTCTTTCTCTCTCTGACCCGCTACCTTTCCCAGGACGATGTCTTTTTCCAAGGATGGCTCCCCCCGACAGCATTTCCAAAAAATGTGAGCCGCACTTTCATCATCCTTAGGGAGCTTTGGTGGCCTCGTGGCAAGAAGCTGTGCTGCAATCCCTAAGGCACATGGTTCAAGGCCACCAGTTGCTCTGTGGAAGAAAGATGGGCAGTTAACTTGTGTAAACCCACCGGAGGGACAGCTGTGGGTCAGTTCTGACTCGATGGTTTACAACAATCTCTAAGGAGCTAAACTACTGTTCAGTTTGAAGAAGAATTCTGGGAATATTTCTGGCTTCAAGTTTAAAGCTTCTCTCAGGGCAACAGTTTTCAAGAATTCATCTAGCCTCCATGGCTCCCAAAAGACTGGTTTTCATGAAAATTCAAAATTGTGTATTTCCCCAATTTTCATCAAAATTCTTCTATAGAATCTTTACCCACAATGTTGAGTAACAATAGCCAGATATTAGCCCGTTCTTTGGGTGTGGTAGTAAAGGATGCCGTTCAGGGAGGTCTTTAACGACACATTGCACATTCTCTTTATATTCCTGACTATCAGTGCTTGATTGCTCCAGGTAAACAGACACCAGTTGTTGTATTTGAATAGCTGATTGCAAACTTTTAAGACTTTGAGCACTGTGCAACAAACAGAAGGTGGAACAGAAGACTAATCTGAATGTCCCACGAAACTGTGACCTTAAACTTTCAAACTGGTAAACTAAACCCCATGAAGTATTTAGTTGTACGTGAGCTGCTTCAACAACTACTCTTTTGTTGTTATTGGAAAAATACCTATCATACTGGTATACAACTTATTTAAAGTAATCACATTAATCAGCTGCAAAATCCTACACTTACTAAGATTTCTCCAGCAATGTGAATCTAAACTC